ATAGCCGACGCCAACCTCCAAACCTAAAGAAACTCCTAACAAGAGCCAGATTCTCATCGGATGAGGAAAAACGCACTGTAGCCAAATGTATGGATCCCCTGTGTGGAACCTGCCCTTATTTAAAAACCGGAGAAAAGTTTACATTTAAATGTGGTAAAACGTTTACCGTCAATGCGAATATGTCATGCAAAACTAGAAATTTAATATACTGTATGACTTGTACTTCACGCGGGGAAAACTATATTGGACAGACCGGTAACAAACTAGCTGACCGTGTAAGAGTCCATAAACAACAAATACGAGACCCCTCCGTCAGGAATACACCTTGCAGTGAACATTTTGATTCATGTGCGAATGGAAACTTTTTGATATTTCCATTTTATAAAATCACAGAAGATAATGAACAATTACGGAGGGCCAAGGAAGATTATTTTGTTAAATTATTTCAGCCTAAATTAAATGTAAATTGAACATTTTAGCTCTAAAGAAATAGTCCATTTTATTACAATGTACATGTGTTTAACTCTATACATTTGGCGCTTTTTTGACATTTACCTGTGCCAATGTATAACGCTGCCTTTGTGACGCCATAATAACGACGTCATAACAACGAAGTTGTATTGTTTTTATTATCATTGTTACACTCTGAAGAGCCGTAACGGCGAAAGCGCTTAGTGTAAAAAATTTAACGTAAACTTGTTTGTTTATCTTGGATTTAATTTTGATTTATATATATATATATATATATATATATATATATATATATATATATATATATATATATATATATATATATATATATATAAAGCACTAAAAAACCAACAACACTGTATATCCTAAATGTCGGATCTACCAATTAAGTAGATACAAGGTCACGGATGGAAATTTATATAAAGCACTAAAAATGACCAACGACACGAACAATAAAAATTGTCAAATTTTCGGGACGCCCTGTCCATTCCTCAGGACAAAGAAAAAAGTTAAAAAGTCATAAGAACAAAGGAAAAAGAGAAAAAAACTAGCACTACTACTAAACTACTAAACACTATATATTTACAAACTTAGCTACATGTTGAATTGGAAATTTTTAAAAACACTATTAAAGAAAGAAATCCGGACCGCTATGAAATACGTCCGGTCTTTCGGGTATACTCGGGTGAAGTGCGATTTACATAATTGAACGAATTAATTATGCTAATTAATTACGACAATCAGTAAATCGTACATTGTTTCATTCTCTCAAAATGGTTTAACTATCCTTGATAAAGAACTATCAAAGAAAAATAATATAGCAGGGATATTTTAACATATGAATTATAATCTATTATAAATTTTGAAATATTTTAGGACTTATAATCGTGAAAAATAAATTAACAAAGGCGTAAGCAATACATAGTTATGTGGATTGTTCGAGAGTTGGTGATGACGCAAATTAACTGTAGAGTTAACACTCAATTGAGAGAATAATCTTGTTTAGTATCATCAGGAATTGGGTCTAGTTTACGTTCATTCTGGTGAAGTCATTCAGTTTGTTAATACCATTAGGGCGGAATGACTTCAATCTGTGCATCCAGAACTTTTCTTTGCTTTTTCTCTGAGCGTCTGTCCATCTTGGGTTATGGTCAATCACCACTAATGTCATGTACGATGAGGGTATCGAAGCCTGTAGAGAAGTCTGGGATAGTGGATCCATACAAATTCCTTCTACCGAGTCCCTTGCCAAGCTCCTTGAACATGTTCTTAAGTTCAACAACTTCATGTTTAATGGAGAACATTACCTGCAGGTTAATGGCACTGTTACATGTATGTGTTCGAAAATGGCACCGTCTCATGCCAATGTCTTCATGGGCAGACTGGAACGCAACTTGTTACTTCAAGCACCATTTAGGCCCCATAGCTGGTTTCGTTTCATTGACGATATAGAGATGAAGTGGGTGGAATGTCGCGAGAGCCTCGAGGCATTTATTACGTTTGCCAACACCTTTCATCAGTCGATCAAATTTACAGTAGACGTATCTAATTCGAAAAACGTATTCCTAGATACCACATCTACCCTGATTGATGGTGAAATCGAATTCAGTCTCCACACCAAACCCACAGACTCCCACCTATATCTTATGCCCACTAGCTGTCATCCCCCACACACTTTTAAGGGAGTGCGTAAGGGTCTACCCACCAGAATTCGACGCATCTGTTCGTCCCCTGCCTTATATCAGGAGCAAAGTGGTCTTCTTAAGTCCCACTTATGCAAAAGAGGCTACAATGCCCGCACCGTACAAACAGCTATTGATGAGATGTCGGGACATGACAAGCAAAACCTATTATGCTATAAGGAGAAAGACAATAGCGGCAGGGTCCCTCTGGTAACAACATACCATCCCGTCCTTAAGAACCTTAGGGGTATCCTTCAAAAGAACCTACCAATTCTCCATTCAAACAAACGAATGGCAGAGGTCTTTAAGGAACCCCCATTGGCTGCATACAGACGCCCAAGAAACCTAAAGGACATGGTAGTAAGAACCAGACTGGACAACCCATTACCTAACGGGGGCTTTAAAACTTGCTCTGACAGAAGATGTCTTCTTTGTAAGCACAGCACTGACACAGTTTTAACAGCCCTGTTACAGGCCGCAGCTACAAAATACTAGGGAATTTGTCCTGTCATACTGACAACTGCATTTATCTCATCAGTTGCAAAGTTTGCTCCAAACAGTATATTGATGAAACAGGAGATATCCGCAGGAGAGTCAATAACCACCGTTCGACCATTAGAACCAAAAAACTCAATGAACCCGTTGGGGAACATTTCAACCTTGAGGGTCACAAATGGGAGGACATTACATTAGTGGTGACTGACCATAACCCAAGATGGACAGACGCTCAGAGAAAAAGCAAAGAAAAGTTCTGGATGCACAGATTGAAGTCATTCCGCCCTAATGGTATTAACAAACTGAATGACTTCACCAGAATGAACGTAAACTAGACCCAATTTCTGATGATACTAAACAAGATTATTCTCTCAATTTAGTGTTAACTCTACAGTTAATTTGCGTCACCAACTCTCGAACAACCCACATAACTATGTATTGCTTACGCCTTTGTTAATTATTTTTTCACGATTATAAGTCCTAAAATATTTCTAAATTTATAATAGATTATAATTCATATGTTAAAAAATCCCTGCTATATTATTTTTCTTTGATTACTCTTTATCAAGTACAGTTCCTCATTTTGAGAGAATGAAACAATGTACGATTTACTTATTGTCGTAATTAATTAGCATAATTAATTCGTTCAATTATGTAAATCGCACTTCACCCGAGTATACCCGCTAGACCGGACGTATTTCATAGCGGTCCGGATTTCTTTCTTTAATAGTGTTTTTAAAAATTTCCAATTCAACATGTAGCTAAGTTTGTAAATATATAGCGTTTAGTAGTTAAGTGCTAGTGCTAGTTTTGTTTCTCTCTTTCCTTTGTTCTTATGACTTTTAAACTTTTTTCTTTGTCCTGAGGAATGGACAGGGCGTCCCGAAAATTTGACAATTTTTATTGTTCGTGTCGTTGGTCATTTTTAGTGCTTAAATATATATATCTGTATCATATCGGGATCTGTAGCATTATGGTCAAAGAAAAATAGATAAAACCATAACGCTACCGATCTGCAGCTAATGATATACTTGATAATAGTGTTTCGAACAGTCAGGGACAACCTCCGTCCTCCTTTCACAGGCTCCATTGCGAGAAATAAACCAAAATGACTTTTTTGGTCATTGCACAGTTCGAAAATCATCGGGGGCTTGGTTTGCATAATTAACCAATGAACGGTATCGTTCGTTTCTTGCAAGGTACGGTACACTTTGTGAACGGTATGGTACGCTTTGTGAACGGAATGGTTTGCTTTGTTGAACGGTTCGCTTTGTGAACATTACGGTACACTTTGTGAACAGAACAGTTCGCTTTGTGCACGGTATGGTACTCTTTGTGCACAGAACGGTTCATTTTGTGAACGGTACAGTTAATTTCTTGTACGGTGCGGTTCGGTTCGTTTCTGAGGTGAAGTAGCACAATTTAGGGTCTGTATCAATAGAGCCCAGCCCTAACACCAGAGCCCCTGACCCTGGGGCCATAAAATCCACAATTTTGAAAGATGCAGCCTTATTCAAAATAACTGTGTTCTTGGTTGGTTTATTTAATGCCCAGAAGCAGAGAAGAAGGTTTTCGAAGAAATAATGCTTTTTCACTATATAATCTATCTAGCACCACCCTAGCACTAGAATCCCTGACCCTGGGGCCATGAATTTTTCACTTTATGTAGAAGACTCAATGCTTATTCCAATCATACCAACAGATTGACTACTCAATGTCCAGGTGTAAAAATGATTTTTTAAAGATTGCATTAATTTTAGTGGTTTCGGCCCCACCCCTCAGGCCCATGGGGGCAGGGACCATAAAATTCACAATTTTGAAAGATGCAGCCTTATTCAAAATAACTATGTTCTTGGTTAGTTTATTTAATGCCCAGGTGCAGAGAAGAAGGTTTTCAAAGAAATAATGCTTTAATGCTTTTTCACTATATAATCTATCTAGCCCCACCCTACCACTAGAACCCCTGATCCTGGGGCCATGAATTTTACACTTTTGGTAGAAGACTCACTGCTGATTCCAATCATACCAGCAGATTGACTACTCAATGTCCAGGTGTAAAAAAAGATTGTTTAAAGATTGCATTAATTTTAGTGGTTTTGGCCCCACCCCTCAGGCCCATGGTGGCAGGGACAAAATTCACAATTTTTGTTCCCCTTCACCCTTAGATGCTTTATGCCAAAATTGGTTGAAACTGGTTGAGCAGTTGCTGAGAAGCTGAAAATGTTCAAATGTTAACACACGACACACACCGCACGACGACAGACGAAAACAGATAGCAATAAGTCACCTGAGTTTGCTCAGGTGACCTAAAAATCCTTTTATCACCTGTAGTTGTTTATTTGAACAATTTACCTTTGCATCCACGAACATCAGGGACACCATTCTGTACATCTGTCTTATAACCAGCTGGACAATTTTCACAGTTGGTTGCATTCACCCAGTATTCATCTCTACCACATGGCTTACACTCTGTAATCCCATCACTTGAAGTGAAACCAGGTGGACATAAAGCTAATAAAATGAAATAATACAGTCAAACCTGTATTATAACATTACTTCCAACGGAGAAAGCAAAAAGGTCACATATGATAGATGGTCTTTAATACAGGTTGTGTACTTTCTGCATTGTTTAAATATACAATGCTGAAAATATTTAACATGTATGTGGAATTTATTTTATACCATATACTCTCGGTTTCCACTTTTCAATAAATATTTTTAACTGTAAATGCTTGTATATTATGGATAAAATTGTCATGTTTGGTAATAAAATTTATGTTTGATCCACACGAGTCGAATTGATTATTGGGAAATATTGAATATCTTTAAAAGAATGAATTTTTTAATCATTATAAAAAGGCTGTAAAGATATATTTTTACAAAATAGTCTACAAAACTTCGTATATTCTGCACGTTGCTAATAATTTGAAATTGTGTCATGATTTTCATTAAGCATTTGGTAACAAATAGAATCAAATTCATAATTAAAAATCTATTCAATTGTCCTAAGAATTTTCTTGTATGACTAAATTACCATGTCTAAATGCGTATCTGTCACCAGGTACTTCAATCATTTAAATTATCATCTGGTATGGGGTGGTATATAGAGTGTGCTTTCATAACCATAGTGACGCAATAGAATTAAATAAACATGTTGGATTTATTTACTTGGTAATTAAAAGTAAAACAGGCAAGTTTTAAAGCTGAATGTACATTAGGCCCTCATACTGTTATATCACGAAATGATATCAGGATCGACTTTGAACATCTACTTTCAAAATATGGCGGAAAAAATGTGAATTGCTAATGTACTTAATTTCAATGTTTATTTAATAAATATCAAAACAGAAGTAAGAGTATATTTATCTTGTAATGTAACAGTTGATTTATTTGTAAAACTCACTATATATTATTTTAAATGATAAAAATGCATGTCTGTATAGATGTTTGAAATAAAATGTAGCATGCTTGACCGAAGTGGTAAGAAGGAGTCAGAAACAAGTGGCTCTGGGGCCACATCGCTCAACTGAGCAACTGGCTAGGTAAAAGCAAAAATCAGTTCAGCATTGAAAAGTTTAAATAAAAAAGTGGGTTCACGGGAGGGGTGTGGTATTTGAACAAACTAAAATCTATACTTCCTATAGATGCTTTTAAATTAATATGATACATAATGGCTTTGCTGTTTATAAGATGAAAATTTTAATTTACTGATATAGCCTTTATATTCCTTTGCATAACTATGATCCACTTTAATGGCTTCGCTATCTCATGGATCTACATTACCTTTTTTGATTCTTTTATATTGATGCTTTTATACTGATGATCAATCATGGCTGAAATTGGCTTTGTTGTTCTTGTAAAGAATTTTAATGATTTTTCTTACGTATTCCTAAGTAAAACCTTGATCACCCATTGTGGCCTCACTCTACCCCCACAGGTTATGACCCTGGGGGTCATGACTTGAACAACTTGAATTTACACTACCTGAGGATGCTTCCACATGAGTTTCATCTTTCCTGGCCCAGTGGTTGTTGAGAAGATTTTTAGAAGATGCCATCAATTTTTAACTAATTCATAATTATCTCCCCTTGGAAGAGGGCATGGCCCTTCATTTGAATAAACTTAAATCCCCTTCACCCAAGGATACTATGTTGCAAGTTTGGTTGAAATTGGTCCAGTGGTTCTTGAGGAGAAGATGAAAATGTGAAAAGTTGACATGACACCTACGACAACAACAACGACGATGACAGACAAAATTTGATCAGAAAAGCTCACTTGAGCCTTTGGCTCAGGTGAGCTAATTATATAGCCATTAAATTAAGGTAAAATTGCCTGAAATTACTAAAAATGGTACGAAAATCACGGTTGTTGGTCGCGTCATATAGGTGATCGTTTATTGACATTTTCATGAATAATTCACATTATTTTATATTTTTTATTACCTATTTTCCATGTATTGTTGTAAAATGCATATCAATACATTCTTAGCAATTAACAACTTATTTATATGGTTTTATGTGACATTTTATGTGACGATTTGCTACTTCCTACCTCAGATCAATATACAGTTTTGGATCCCCACATGCAAATATGTTTGTGAAGTCAGACCCAATATATAATACTGGGTTCCCACACACAAATGATTAAATAATATTTCTACATGCAACACCTTTATAGCCTTGTTTACTTGAACTGTGTTTATGTCACTTTACAAATGCAAAATATATGTTGAGAAGTTTTGATTTGATTAAACAATTAATCAATCGAAACATCTTGCGGTTAACCTATTGGAAATTCTGTATTTAATTAACTGTCATCCCTAATAAATATTACTTTTATCGAAACTTTCAACTGTAGTCTAATCAAATCAAAATTTCTTTCTTTTTTCTCCAAAAGGTTTAAAACCTAGTTTACAATCCAAAATCACATTTTGGATTATATTGTACATTATTTTTAATTTTCTTAATGATTTGCCTTGCTGATGGCAAATTGCAAGTACATGAAGACTTTCTACATGAAAAACCACGAAAAAATGAAAGCGAGTAATTCTTGACTACTACTTCATGCAAAATTACACAATAAATTTCTCGTGTATATTTAAGACTTACAGTATACTTGTACGCTAAGCTTTTTCTTTATTCTTTATAGTATTAGGTGCAAAATTATTTAAATAGCATTCTCTTATTATTGAAAAAAATGACATATATCAAAAACAAAGGTTTCTTGAGGCTAGCCTCACATTTTCACAATAATTCTTCTTACCTTTACATACAAGTTTATTATCAATTGATACAGTATTATACGGACAGGTTTTACAAGATGTCTGGCCTACTAAGTCCTGATATTGGCCATCTGCACACATCACACAGCTACTGCCATTGAAATATCTCCCAGGTGGACACATTACTGAAAGAAAGAAAACAAAATTGCTTTAAAATAAATGATTATAATCAAGTGTCCTTTCTTTTCTCCTTTCTACTTACACCTTTAGCAAATGATTATAGCTCTCATTATGCTGTTCTAAGTAAATTCTACGTTTATAATTCAAAACAAATAATTGAATATTTTTCTACCTCCAAGGGGCATAACTCTGTCAAAAATGCTTGATCAGACCCCCCAAAAAACTTGACCCAGATATTATTATGAAAAATCTGTATACCAAATTTCATTTCAATATGTTCAACCTCTGCAAAGAAAATGAATTGAAACTGCAAATAATTGGAATTTTTCTATGTCCAAGGGGCATGATAAAGCTGTATACCAAATTTCGATCATTTCAGTATTTGCAACCTGTTCAAAGAAACTGAATTAATGGAAACTTAGTGGACCGACAGACAAACCGATCGACAGACAGCAGCAAAGCAATACGCCATCCCTTCTTCAAAGGGGGGGGCATAATGATTAATTTTGAAAAGCTAACAAACTTGGTCTTACCTAACCTACAGCACTATGACAAAAGTATTACACAATGGCATCTTTCTCACTCTGCGCTTTGCTCGGGGAATGAGCAATAACTCTAATTAATGCCTTGTTGACACATCAAATCTTTACAGAGTTGTCTTCACATCGGAAGTGACGTTAAATGTAAGTATTTTTATCGTCTGCTGTCTTGAATTTTATGTAAACAAACAGGGATAAGGATGGGTAGGAAATCTACAGAAATATCAAATGATGTCAAAAAATAAATTGTGGACATGAAAAAGGACGGGCAAAAAACATCAGTAATTGTGAATTTATTACAAATACCTGAGTCAACCATCAGTTCTATTTGGAGAAAAGATTTGTCATCTAGTGAAGTCAGAACTTTGAAAAGAAAAGGACGCTCTCGGAAGCTGTCAAAACGAACTGGATTATTAGACATACTAACACTAAAAGAGGACGGGTTTTATATGACATTACTAATGAATTTAATGAAAGCAGGGATGTTAATGACTTTGTTCATCCACGAACAGTCCAAAAGATTTTTGCGTGATCACGATTTTAAGCAGAGTTGTTAGAAAAAAATAGGTGGTTCCCGAGATCAACAGAAAAAGGCGTGTTGCCTGGTGTTTAGAGAAAAGAAAACTCACGGTGAGTAATTATTGGAACACTATTGTGATATGGTGAAATAGTTTTAATGTGTTTTACATACGAAGATTATAATACATATTTAACAAAATAATATTTGGTAAAAAAAATTGTTACCATGGTTGGATTTGAACCGTGGTCCTTTGAATACGTAAGTTTCGAGATTATCTCCCTTGTTGCACTCTTTCGTTGAGGAGGGGTTTTGTTTGGACAGTTATTTATATATTGGATACATTGCATTATCGATATACTGGTTTATCATAACTACACGATTGTCAGGATGCACTCCACAACTAGAGAATAACCAAATTAATGTAAAGGCGTCATTTTTAAAGCAAAAAAAAATCGTAGCAAAAAAGAAAATATCAGTGGATGTGAGACTTTTCTGACAAGGGAAGAGATATGATGGACCTCTAATAAATACGGTACATATACATCTGATCATTGCACGTCGGCAATCTAAATGACAAATTGATTCTTTTCCTTATTATAACTTAAAAAAAAACACTAACTTTTTAGAAAATGTTTGTACAATCAAGAAAATTGGATAGCTTTCGTAAAGACGATGCCGTTTCTTTCGTTTTCAAGTACCCTATAATTGAAAGTAGATTTGTAAATATGCATAGTTGAGCTTGATAAAATCATCAAATGCATCACTGCTTAACATTATTATCTTTCTACAACAGTTAATAAATTTTAAAACCCATAAACATCGTTCATTTATTTGTGCACGTTTGTATACAGAACATCCTGTCCCACCTCCATGCTGAAATGGATACTTTTTGCACCTCTATCGTAGGAGAGTTACAATCTCGAAACTCCCGTAATGAGGCGAACTGCCTATCAGCTAGACCACGGAGTGATATGACTCATTGAATCGTAAATCATTTAAATATAGCCATGATATTAATTAAATCTTATTTCAATAAATATTTTATGTTAAAATTATTCTTGGATTGATGTAAGTTCCTTATTTTAAATGTCCATCTCAAAATAAAATGAATAAGAAAATAATGAAATAATAATGTTTCTTTCATGTAATGATTTTTATTCCTTTGTTTGAATTGTCGATTGTTCATAATAAGACACGCCATATTGCGCTTTGAAAACACTGCTACCTAGAAGCATTAGAAATTTCAAATAAATTACAGTTTATCTTCATAGAAGTTTTATCAAGGCATGTGAGTATTTGTCTATTCAGTATCCTGTAAAATCATGTTTGATTTATAGTATACTAAATAAACACCCGCGCAAGCGCGGGAAATTGAATTTATGTATAGTTACCATTTACAACAGAAAATTAAATATATATTAGTTTTAAACTGTAGATTTTACCGACAGATTACAGACTTATAGAGGGAAGAAATACTTTGTTCAAAATCCCGCATGAAGCAGATGTACATCACCATCTCCATCAAATTTTTGTGAAAACTTGGAAAATTAAAATTTCTTTAATTGACGTTTATGTGAAACCTCTTAAAATGTTATGCATAATGCACTTCAGATGTTCTCATTTCATTTTCGTGAAGGATAAAAGCATCGAATATACACAATTTACAAATAAAATGATTTTTGGGGGGAGGGGTAAAAATTCACATGTAATTGGGTCTTGGTTTATAATTATATATGTACCCTTATCGATAAGTAAAAAGGTCATAAAGTAAATACATGTACATATTCATAAACCAAAATCCAAGTACCCCTGTTGAAAAAATTAGCTTCCCCCCACCCCCACCCCTTTGAATAGGCCGAGTAATTGAGACAAAAGACTTTTTATAGAGAAAACTGAAATGTCTTTATTAAAGCACAAAACTCTACAGCTTTAATTGTATTTAAACAATACCCTAATTATTCGTAAGTTTTCCCTTTTGTTGTAAGCAAGTTAATTACAAAGTACAAATTGTAGGTCGGGTTCGTTGCCATGATGCTCTCTCAGTATGGAAAATACAATATTTACCGATCAACTCGTAAGAAAAACATATATGTACTACATATATAATATAGTCTTTCGATACATCTTTCCTGTACTTATATAATATTTGCACTTGTCTTTGACTGGTCATCAACTTCTGACTTTCTTCACTGTCAGAATGCCATCTTCAATTTATACACTAATTATTTGCTATTTGTCTAGTTATATAATCCTTGTATTAATAAAAATATTAGTGGTAGCAATATGTTACTGATAATGCTCAAGCATACATGTATTTTGCTCGTTTTTACCAAACTATTGTTTTTATTGTATTTTAATTTATATAACATCATTTTTTGTAAAATTATTTAATCAAATGACCCGTTAATTACATTATTTACAATTATTTCTTGATTAAAACAATGTAGCAAAGGGAACATGGTGTTCTAGAAGCTTCCGTCAATATTGAGATCGGTGATTGACGAATATTATCGTTTGCAGCTAACTGTAAAGTTTCACGTTACGTCACGGTCTAGTTGACAGCTGCACTCAAGGTAAATTGTACACGTCTCCTCACTGCAAGCTTTACTACTGGAACTTTCTTCTTATCCCTGATTGGTTGCTCGTGCAACAGACTATTTCCGTGTCAATGTTGATAATTTGAGTTGACCAATCACGTGAATTGTTTACACTGGATGCATCTGACGAAAAAGATCGTGACGTAACATGAAACTTTACAGTTAGCTGCAAACTATAATAATTTGCACTTTTCGCTTTTTAATCGGTAACCACAACTCATTTCTTTTATATCATTTAAATCAAGTTTTGATTGAATAATTCAGTGATGACATTTTATGAAATAAATAATTGATTGTTTGTTGTCAGTTTCATTGAAATTTGCCAGTAGCTTAGATCCGCCAACCGGAAACACCACCATACTCGCGTTGATGCTATTCCATGGCTGTTTTTAGAAAATTGAAGTAGACTTTTAACTTTATGTACGGTACTTACTCTCCGAGTGAAATCTGAATATAGTTTACGGACATATCTTGTATGTAGTGTAGTATAAGAGGAGTAAGTATTAGTAAGAACTCTTGTGCACCCGTTTTGGAGTTTATTTGCAAAATTTATTAATTTATAAGCATAGATTAAGAGTTTATTCTGTATATTTAATGATCGAGCTGATTGTTTACATATGAAATTGTTTCTTACAAAAGAAATTATTGATCAAATTTATCATTTCTCTTGAACAATTATTATATCACATATTATGGAATAGTAGTGTAGTCTTGATAAACCAATGAACTAGTTTTATTTTACGAAGTATGTTATTTTTAAATTTAGTTTAGAATATAATGATCAGTAATATAGAATATGCATTGAAGGTCTGTTATATTATCATATTAGGTTAATAACAGAGATGTGACGAACCACGATCCATGGGTTTTTGATTACTCCCTTACTTAGGGTATGTTTTTATCCATGAATAAGATCATGCATATTGTTGTATATAATACTGGCATATATAATATTAGCATAATAACAATTTATACAAATGCCTGAGTATAATGAAATTTATTTATTTGTGCAATTGCATTGCTAATTGTAAATGTAATTTTCACAATAATTATTGTTGTTAGATTTTATTACTTTTCATATTATATTGTAGGCCATCACCATTTAAATTTCTCATATGAAATAAAGAGTGAAAAACCACCAAAATAAGGCATGTTACACAATTATATTTTCTGATGAAACCCTTTTCTTTAAGGAGAGAATCATAGAGTGTATGTGTGGAGAACATCTAAAGAATCGTACTTGCCCCAATGCATGTGTCCCCCTCGGCAGAAAAGGCTTTCGGTAATGGTGTGGGGATGCATTACCTACCATGGGGTCAGTACACTTTGCATGATCAATGGAAATATTAATGCAGTAAAATACATAAGCATTTAAGAAGATCAACTTTGGCCTGTTATTGTCCGACATTTCCTCAACAAAACCTATCGTTTTCAAGATGACAACGCTCCCGTCCATACTCCATAGAGCTCATATTATTGTAGATTACAAACAACAAATAATATTTCTACAATTATATGGCCAGCTCAATCACCGGACATTAATATTAAAGAGAATTTATGGCTAAAAATCAAAAGAACTCTGCAAAATTGAGCTCCAAACATAAAGACTCCAGAAGAGTTATTCGATACTACTTTACACATCTGGAATTCCTTCAGTGAAAACTATATCAAAATCCTTAAACGAATCCAATCCCCATCGACTATTAGCTGTAATCAAGTCTAGGGGACACCTCATTAAGTATTAATAAAGGTTAGTCTGTTATTTGTTTCACATTTTATTGTTTATTTTTTACAAAGCGCATCGTGTTTACGTCTGCCATTTTGAAAAATCACGAATACTTTTGTCATAGCGCTGTACATTTCAAATGTAAATGCTGTCATTTTGTACACATATTAAATATTGTATCAATATTATATCATTATATATTTAATATTGTATTGTATCATCTGTAATAGTTACTCACCACACTGTTCACCACTCCCTGAATTGAGTTTAATAAGTACCATATTGTCAGCGCATTTGTTTCCAGCATCAATCCCTTTGATGCTTAAAACTGATACACTTGATTGAGTTCCACCATCACAAAGTGTGGTATTATTATGCAAGAACGTGTAGGGTTTACGATTCACAGTGGCATACACTGTTTGTAGACAGAGAAATCTTATTTCATCACTTGCACTTCCAGTAAATTCTCCACTGAAGACGGTTGTGATCTACAAATAACAAAGGTGTTCAAATCTTTTTAATGCTGTCTTGATCTATATTATTGCAAATCTTGCTTGAAAGTATACACTGAAACCAAAATAGCGTTGCGTTGAGTGATGACACTGTTTGATTTAAAAATAAAACAATTTGAATCACAGGTTTCATTTTATAAAAGAAGTATTTTAATTAATTGATTAGGACCTGCCCACTCCCGTGCGGTATCCTTTTGCCTATACAAGTTGGAAAGCATCCAACGGCCTAGCGAATAGCCATACCGTATTTGATTGTCAAAAACCGTTGTTGACTTCTTGAACCAAAAAAAACAAACAAACAAACAAACAGGCTATATAAAAATCATTATTTAGCATGTGATATATTCCTTTCGAAGATGGTACATGTATATTGTTGATGGTGCACACTATTTCATTTTATCCTACATGTTATTCTGCTGACTTTCTATTCACAGTATTTTCCATTTTCGGTGTTTGTTCTGTGCAACTTTTCAGTGCATTAAAAATCCTTTTCTCCATGTTTTAGTCAAAAGTGAGCTTTTACACTAAGTTGGCAACCACAAGCAAATTGAAAATGCAGATATTACTGGAAATTACCCAGCTGATACCGGAGCACTTGTTATTGAAAAAAAATATAAATTCGTAGGTGGTAAAACATGTAAAACACAGGATTTATTCAAAAATTTACTGCTTTATTGTCATGACTGTCAAAAATATACTAAATGTTTTTAAATGTGTGTGTGCTACGTCTACATACACATTTAAACAGTCATCTTGGCAATAAACATGCGACCAGAAAAATCTAAAACCTTTTGCTTTTTTTCATGCAGTGCACTTTTTATAGCGAATTTTACTCACTAAAATTAATAAATAATCACTTATAATGTATTCCATACCGAAAAAAGTTATAACTAAAGTATAACTTAGTTATTCCTAGGCTCTGAGGTACAAAAAAGTTATAACTATAACGTAACGTTTTTGGACTTTGCTAATTTCATGTATAACTAAAATGTAACTTTTTTGGACTTCCGTCATTTTCATGTATAACTAAAATGTAACTTTTTTGGACTTCGTCATTTTCATGTATAACTAAAATGTAACTTTTCTGGACTAAGCCATTTTCAAGCATAACAAGTATAAATGTACAAGCTTTAGGCATTTAGGGGTTAATTAATGGATACTACTTGACACTCTGACTTTTTTTTTCAAAAATAACATTATAACTAAGTGTTAATTTGAATGAATTTTGATCATGTTTAAAATGTTTTTTTTTCCAAACACTGCAGCAGAAAACAATTCCTGTTGCTCATCAGAGGGAAAATTCAAAAGTAATAAATAGATAATTTTTTTAAGAAAAAAAGGGACTGCCAGGGCTCTTAGACAATGTTATTGTTTACCACCATTGATCGATTTCTCATTCATATTGAATATGCTGTCCACAGTCATGTAAAGTTCAACAGAAGGGATGTGAAATAAAATCTTGTATATTACATCTGAAAATCTCTCTCTCTCTCTCTCTCTCTCTCTCTCTCTCTCTCTCTCTCTCTCTCTCTCTCTCTCTCTGCGAGATGAAATTCATAATTTTAGGAACTTTTATGAAACATTCAAGAAATTCATTATTTATTCATAACAGATTCATGACTGGTTCGTAAAGACAGTTCATGAATTTTGTTCATGAATAAATTCATATATTGTAGTTCATGATCAAATGATGAACAAATATGAATATTGGTAATTTTCAGTTTAAAGAAAAGAAACTTAACAGGTCAAGGTAATGAATGTTCATGAAGACTAAAAATGTAAAATAATTGTCACAAACGATCGCCAGAAAACACTCATTACTCCCATAATACAACTTTTGCATGCATATGCATTGTTGAACAAGCCCCTGGTATAATTAATAACATCCTATTGTTTTGATTTTGAAAGTATGGGATCAGAGTCGAGTAGGAAAACATAAGAGGTTAAAATCACTATTTCCTACTCTATGTAATTGATAACTTACATTCTTCAGGATAATAAAACTCTGTCTAGAAGGGAGATTATAATTAAATTATGATTGTAATTGAACAAACACTGCATCATCATTGACAGCATTTTTTTCTCTTATTGAATTACTAATGTTTCTTCATCATTTGAATTGGCCAGCTATATTGTGCTTTAAATAATATTTTTCACGTTGTTCGACCGAATTTTCTCTATTTGTCAAACTTAAACAAGTTGTTACTGTTGTAAGAAAATGAAACAGACTTACAGTCTAGGAAAAATTTCATAATCTTCGTAAAAACGTATCATAAATTTATTAACAACTAAAAAATTATATTTCTTGTCCGTACTGTACTGTACTATTCTTGGGTCGAAACGCTTTATATTTTGATGCAGTTAAAGAAACATTTTTCTGTCCATCGTGTGTAAATGATACAGCACAGACTACATGGTTGTGAAGTATCTATGACATGATCCACATTCGTATTTTGTAGTCTATTCTCCTATATATACACCTTCATAGCTCAGGGTACTCAGTTTGAGGGCGAGTAGTCCAAAGAGATATTTGTTGTCCTCCTCATGGTATGGCGGCGGCCATACTTGTAATGAAAATACGAAACTATGGCTCTACATGTATGATGTAAAAAAAATTCCAATTCATTAAATGATATAACTTATATTAATTTTTAAAAAAATAATTTCAGTGGAAAATTATTCAGAGAGTGTTTTTTTTTTTTTTTTTTTTTTTTTGTTAAACAAAAATCTTGGCAATTCGAAGCTATTTCTTAATTAGCTCTGCATTACACTTTTTAAAAGGCGCAAATTTTGAAACGCGCGAGACGTTGAAAAGTAAATCGGTAGAGTGGATGGTAATTAGCGTATAGTTATCCCTTGTCAACCTTTGAAAAAAATAATTGAATACAAAGAAGGAATATCCAGAGGATCAATTTAATTCATAACTGCAGATATTAGTGGTGAGTTACAAAACAATGGAAGCAATCGCTGAATGTGTGAGATATCTGTCTGTAGATGTTATTGTCTATTTGTAAAAGTTATGTCTTTTTTTATGAAAATTTTGCCAAACTTTGTTATGAGTAGGGATCCAACCAAATTACGTTACATTCAATAATTAAAGATTGAGGCTCAAAACATTCATAATCCTGTTCACCTACATTCGGGCTACAACATGGCGGGCAAGGGAAACAGGCTAAACTCCCGCTCAGAATGCTTTAATATATGACAGTGCCTATGATGCAGAATTAAATGAAACAAATATGCAGAAAATAAAATTAAGTCTTAAGTTTTCACATTCATGAGCATTTTCTGAAAATCTTTGTTCTTGTAGGGAAAAGAGAAGCAGTTCACAGGTAATGTTGATGAGTTGAGATCAAAAGATAAAAAACAATGGCTGCAAAAAAATTCAGGCTCTTGAAGAAAAACAAAAGAAAGAAATAAAAATATGAACAGTATTCGATCAAAGGATCCAAAACATGAAATTCTGGAAATTCCATAGGGAAAGCCAATAAGAATTTTTTAATTGACCACCTCTGCTCAAAATCCTTGAAAGCCCTTTTAGCTGATGCCCTAATTGCTGAACACACTTTTCTGCCAGACTTGGATAAAAAAATTATTCCATTTTAGGCATAAAAACACACTTTGAAATATGCTGAGTAAGGAACTCGCTCTCCTCTTGACCAAATAAGGTTAAGGATTCTGCAAACAGTCGCGTTTGAATTGAAATTTTTCATAATTTTACCAGGAATGATCTACCTAATTCATTTATTATCTTCATCACTTATCAGAGTTGTTTACTTAAACAAAGATTCTGTTACCACGAATGGAAAACAAAAATTCTGTGAAATCTTTCAAGTTGCTATATTATAGAATAGTTTCTTTTACAGTTTTTCATTTTGCATGACTTATTACATTTTTGTTTACAAAGAAGCAAGAACATTCAAGAATAGTTCATGAACATTCCTAAATAACTTTTCGAAATTATTCATGAATAGTTCATGAAAATGCATTGAATTTCTTAATATAATTCATAAACTTTTCTTGAAGGTTCAAGAATATAATTCATGAACTTTTCTTGAAAGTTTAAGAATTATTCTTGATCATTTTGCAGGCAATTAAAAAATCTACGTTCGTTCATGAACAACAAATTATTCTTGAATATTCTTGAACTTGGTTTTCATGAATAAAATCCATGAAATCATGAGTGTCCAATTTTAACTTCATGGGATCTTCATAAACAATTCATGAGCAGATTCAAGAATATAATTCATGAACTTTTCTTAAAAGTTCAAGAATTATTCTTGATTATTTCGCAGGGGTATTTCTCTTTATGGTGTGTGAGGGTTTGTATTATGTGTGTGTAATAAATATTATTGTCTATATAAATTGATATTTGTCATGTTAGTTTCAACTAAAGTTGGGAATAATTAATTTCTCTCTCTCTCTCTCTCTAACTCTCAGGAAAAACGTATTTATTGAGACCCTGATGAAACTTAATGTTTGTCTTGTAAATTATAATAAAGCATGTACATTTTTGAATAAATATTCCATAATTCTGGGGAAATATAAATGTACTGCAAGAGATATAAACAGTAAAATGTTGTTAGTATTATTTTGAGAATGAGACGGTTCTGTATCGTAGATACAAATTTGGGGGTGAACGAGTGCGTAGCACGATTCTCCACCCCCAAATCTGTATCTACGATACAGAACCTGTCGAGTTCTCTAAATGATTTGTGACACGATGAATCAAAAGTAACTCCACCCACTTTATGAATTTGCAGCATCCTTCCGCCAGAGTTCTGTAGATGAGGCCCCGACGGGAAGTGCGCATTCGCAGTATATATATATTTCCACAGAAAACGTAAAACTCGGTCAGATTAGTTTTGAAAATATTTACGGGGTAGGCGTAATCGAGTGATAGTCAGTTTTAATGGATAAGGTGGAGGATTTAACCGTCATTGTTGTGATCTATTGTAGATGGAGATTGTTATATA